ACGCGGCGCAGAGAAGAAAAGGGTTTAGGGTTTAACGAGTGCTGTAAGTTTAACTCGTCGTAACCTTTTCTTTATTTTTTTAATAAAACTTTTATTTATTTTAGTTTATACCTAAATGTTTTAATTATTATTATGTACTATATTTTGTTTAATTAAAATATATATTTTTTTTTGTCGGCAATTAAAAAATATATTTTTTGTGTAATAAAGAGTAGACTTTTATTTTGTTTAATTAAAATTTAACGTCCGCACGCAAAATTTTAGATTCATTTTCCTTTTATTTGATGTGTTTTTCCAATTTATATTCATTTGTTTAATTAATTATTCAGAAATCAATTCATTTTATTGTTTTAAGCTCAAGGATTAGTCAAAATCAAGATAGCTAACGAAATAGCCAAGTGACTTTAGAGGATGTACATTGAGGAGTTCTCAATGAAATTCTAAAAACTAATAAAATATTAAGGTTAATATAATATTTTTTAGATCTTAAATATATTTTATTACTGTTAATATTTTATAATTGTTTGAAAACTCTATTAAAAACTCCTGCTCTTAAGCATAAAGAGAAAAGACCAACTTTGTTTTGCAAGTTTTACCAAAAAAAAAAAAAACTTTATTTTGCAAGTCATACAAACAGAGTTAGTTTGCCATGTGCAATGGAATAAGCAGAGATTTAACCAACTAGATATCGCAGCACAAATGGGTGGCAAACATGTTACTGGCAGTAATGAAGAACCATTTAGAGAAGCAAAGAGTTTATTTCATTCCAAAATTTATTGCTACTGAAAAATATCACACCCACAAAACGTTCTTAGTAAAGAAAAACCAAACAAAAATCTTATGATAAACTCTCATATAAAAGCTTAATGCTTCTCTCAAATACCGAAAACAAAAACAGAAACTAGGCAGCTACGATATAGAAGAGCCAAGCTTTTTTACTCATCATCATCAAAGGTGATCTTCTTCGCTGCGTAGACAAAACAAAAGCAACTTTATGAGACAAGGCAGGATTCAACAAGGCACCAAAACAAAGGCCAGAGGAGAAGAAGAAACAAACCTTGCGATGCGGGAAATAAACTTGGTTTGTTGGGTGTTCTTCCTCTACCTTGGTTACGGCCACCCTGGTTCCTTCCATTCGAGTCGCGGCCACCCCTATTCCATCTGTTCGAGTTGCGGCCACCCTGGTTCCTTCCACTTGAGACAGGGCGATCACCGCTATTATCTGCTCTTGGCGCAGCCTCGTTCACCACTATGTACCGTCCTCCAAATTCACTTCCGTTCAGTTCCAATGCCTTGTCGAAACCACTCTCAAAATCAATGTAAGCCATCCTAAAAGAATAAGAAAACCAATGTTCCGTGAGT